GGAGACGCGGCGCGGGGAGCGGAGCAGTTGGCAGCTCCGCTCCCGCTGACTTTCAAAAACCCGAGTCCCGCGAAGTGCCCGCAGCGGAGGAGCGAGGTAGGGACGGGTGCAGGGTCTGTCCCGGCGCGACCTTGCCCTTCCCGCCTCGCGGACACCTGAGGCGGCGGCGCGCCGCCAGCGCGGGGTTTCAGCTGGGCATCTCCTTCCCGCCCCCGGAGCCCCCTAAAATGGCCTCGAAGCGGATTTCCCGGAGAACCCGGCACCTGAAAAGCCGCCGGCTGGAGCGGAGGTGCCGGGAGGGTTCAAACTTGAAACAAAAGCAGTCTTTTCTGCGGCAGGAGGGAGACGAGTTTGCTATTAAAAAAAAAAAAAAAAAAAAAGATAGTGAAAGTCAAACTTGGAAAAAGCTGCATGTGACCTGAGGCGACGCTGTGAAAACTTCAGCTGAGAAACATTTTAGTCCTCCCTGGGGGCATGTAAAAACAGGACGTCCCCACGAAAGGATCAATGAGAGCAGTGAAAGAAGACTGGTCCTGTCTACTCGCCCTCCTTCCCACTGATAGCGTTTCAGATACTCGCTGGGGTTTTTTTTTTTTTGCCATGGACATGTTTTTTTTCTAACTATGGCCCAAAAACAACATGAGACTATGATGGGCATCTGACACTCAACATAATGAAATGAATTTGCCTTGTTTTTGTGAATTACTGGCATTCTCAGTGGAAACTTTGGGAGAAGTTTCACTGAGATTTGTAGTTAACCTGAGAGCAACAGCAGACTTAAAAAATTCCATGTTTAGCTTCCACCCTGAGCACACATGGTCTTCTTCCCTGCAAAAATTTGTGCATAGGGTTAATTTTTAATGCCTTATGAACTTTTAATGCCTTATGACTTTAATGCTCCTATACTTTACTCATATAATTTGCTCACATATTTTTTCAGGATCACGGCCCTAAACAAATATAATTGAATTTTTCTAGGTTTTTTCATATGAAGGCAAAACGCTTCCACTTGAAACTTAACAGCAAAACACTCTGAACTTTATCATTCTTTCTGGCATTATTTTGAATATAATACAATCTCTAATCTCCAAGACTAAGTGTCAATACAATAATTCATTGCTGTATTCACTACATTTTAGCCCTAAAGTTATTATTGAAGCATACATTTAAAGAGCTATATTCTCATTATTACTTAACTGCAGGAATAAAAGCCAATGAAATATATCATGATGTCTCCACTACTTCAGTTTATCTCTATGTCGAGTCAAGAAATGCGGTCACAATAATTTAAATATCAAAGCTGTTAACTATGTAACTGCTGGTCACAGGACATAAGAAAAGAAGAAATGATATGAAGATTGGCACAACCTGCCATAACTGACATTCTGTCTGGGTATCACAAGGGAGTGGGATGTGGGAAAATACCCTTGTATCCTCACTGTTTTTCCTCAGTCTGACCAATGAAGCCAAAAAGTCACAGGTGGGAACAGAGCCTGGGAAGCCTGAGCTTTACCAAGGGGATCTCAGTCCTATAGATCCAAGTCCTCATCCTGATCCCCTTGCATTAATGAAGGCTTGAACTACTATGGCAATGAATGCGAGGCCAAGCAGCTTCTTCTCTGGCTAGTTTAGTCTAGTCTAGTCTATTCCACAAATCCAAAATGGAGGGTGACTGGCACCTGGAGCATTGTATCCATTTTTAGGCACCACACTTTAAGAAAGATGTGGACAAATTGGAGAGAGTTCAGAGACGAGAAACAAAAATGATTAGACATAGAAAACATAACATATAAGGAAAGGCTAGATTGAAGAATTGCAATTATTTAGCTTAGAAAAGTGAAGACTAGGGGCGGGGTTGATAACTGTCTTCAAATACACATAGGTCAGGGGTTGTCAACCAGGGGTACATGTCCCCCTGGGGGTACTTGGGAAGGCCCCAGGGGGTACGCGATGGTGGCGCGGAGAAGTGGGTATACTTGGGAAGAATTGGGTGTAGGGGTAGGACTGCCGCCACCGCCACCCAACACTTTGCGCCAAGGTGGCGTGCTGCTTCCCCAAGCCCCACTCCTGCCTCGGCGGACCGGCCGCTGGGGGACACCCCCCACCTGCTTCTTGACCAGCTGCTGGGGGTACACTGACCAAAAAAGGTTGAAAACCCCTGACAGATTATTATAAAGAGGTTGGTGATCAGCTGTTTTGTGTCCAGTAGCAAAAGACAAGAAGTAATGGGTTGAAATTGGAACAAGGGAAAATTAGGTTAGATATTTGGAAGAACTTTCTAACTATAGGGGTGGTTAAGTACTGGAACAGATAACCTCCAGAGGCTGTGAAATACCATCTTGGGTCGTTTTTAAGATCAGTTTAGATAAACATTTGTCTGAGAGTTCAGACAGCAATAACTGCCTTGAGCAGAGAGCTAGATTAGGTTACCTCCTCAGGTCCTTCCCAGCCCTATTTTTGCATGATGCTGTTCAGGTTTTTATACTATATTCATCACTTTAATATCTGGGTACCTACTGGTAGTTCATTAAGTGACATGATTAGTATCTCCCACATGTTTTTTGTTCTCTTAACATCTCCCTAAGGGAAGAAGCCCGTGCAGCTGAATGTTTTGTTTTTGATTTGTTTGGTTGTCATTTTTGAAAATATGTATGTCATGTATTTGAGATAGGGAGGCAAAGTCAAATCGATGTGCCTCCCTCTTGGAATGACATGTGGTAAGGTTTGCCCTTAGTTCCTGTGGAATTGGTTCTGTGATCTTGGACTGGCCCCTGGGAAAGTTCTGTCTCCCGCCTACAGAAACTTTACCCTTGTTTTAAAGAGTTCCTTTTTGCCAGAGAACTGAAGTTGTTGACCACAGAATTTGTTCCAGCACATTAGGTGGTCTTTGAGATGTGTTGGGCCTAGGCCATGGAACTTCTTGAAGATAAGGATTGAGACCTTGATGAATGGAATTTGAAATTGTGTATGTAGTCAGAGCAGAAAGGATGGGTTTGATGGGCCTACAGTAGTATGTATTACAGAGATGTGCTGCAGGTTTCTGTACTTATTGGAATTTTCTATGTGCTGCAGGCTTCAGGCCTAGCTACAGTGCACCACTGTAGTAGAGGTAAAGGGTGACGGAAGTGTGAATAAGTGAGATCAGGTCCATAGTCAACCAGTGATGACAAAGGCACAGGCTGCCTGCTTCTTAGGATCACATTGCTGCAAACAAACTTACATTTGGTTTAAGTTTTATTTCACATCCATAAGGAATAGAGGCTTTTGTTTGTAATGAAAGCTGAGATTCTGACACCATTATGTAACTCTTGGAGCCAGAGCCGTAGTCATTTGCCTTTTGTTCCCATACCTTAATAATCCAGTCCTGTCCCAGGAGTAGGCAAACCGCAATCAGGGAAGCCAAGCTTGAGGAGCCTAGCAAAGCACATACTGATCATATCTTCAGCATCTTCATAGTCTACTGTGAGTGACATCTCATTTGATATACCAGGTGGGCAGAGCTTGTTGTGTGCATGAAGCTGGTTAGAGTGCTGTAACTTTTTTTTCAATATGAGCCTTGCCTTGGCCTTGTTGCTTAGCATTCC